TATAGAAACACAGCCCTGACTACAACCACATGATCAAATATCCACTTTAAGCTCCTTAAATGTTCCCCAAAAAGAAACCGGAGACTATTTGCTTTATAAGATATTACTAAATGGCCAGTTCATGTATTTTCCCAAAATGAATAGATATTCTGCCCCCAAAGACTGAAATCACATGTAAATTTTTGTTTTTCTAAAAAAAATTATTTAAAAAATTGAATAAATTCACATGACCCTAACTATAGAAGTTACAAAAGTGAAAAGTCTCCTTCCCACGTCTGTCTCCAGCCTTTCAGCCATCCCCTCTCCTGACTCCCACTTCTGGATGATCCAGTGTCTCCTTCCAGAGATATTTTTATTTATTTGTAAATGAATGTGCGTATATGGTCACCCCATCCTGCTCCTTTTTAAAAAACAAATGGAAGCATGCAAAAAACTAGTGGAGCATGACGGCAGGTGCCTGTAATCCCAGCTACTCAGGAGGCTGAGGCAGGAGAATCACTTGAACCTGGGAGGCAGAGGTTGCAGTGAGCCGCGATTGTGCCACTGCACTCCAGCCTGGGTGACAGAGCGAGACTCCATCTCAAAAACAACAAACAAACAACAAATGGGAGCATACTGTACACTGTGTTCTTCTCCATCTCACTTTTTGCACCTAACAATGTATTTTGCAGAACATTCCTTAGCAACTCGCTAAGATCATTCTTATGCTTTTCCATGGTTGCAAAGAATGGAATTGATGAGTATACCTCAACATATTTAAACGTCCCCTATTAATTAACATTTAGGTTGTTTCTAATTCTTTACTATTACAAACAATGCTACAAATAACAATTTTTGTACCAACATCACTTTGCAGGTGCATAATTATGTCAGTAGGATAAATTCCTAGAAATGGGGAGTTGCTGGTACACAGATCATGTACACATGTACTTTAATTGCCATTCAAGGGAGCAGACCCAGTTTACACTCCCCCAGCAATGTGTTGTTGGTTTCAACATATCCTTGCCAACATAGTATATTATTGAATTTCTTTTATCATGGCCAGTCTGGTAGGTGTAAAAGAGATCTTAGTGAAGTCTTAATTTGCATTTCTTGTATTTTAATTGTGAACATCTTTCCTTTTCTCTGAATTGTGTGTTTTATATCCTTTATCTATTTTTGGAGTGGGAGTGAAGTGTTGATCTTTTTAATCAATTTTCAGAGCTTACATTTTAAAGGAAATTTACTTTTGCCTGTGATATGGGTTAAAAGTATTTTCCTCAGTTCATTATTTGTCCTTCAATTTTCTTATAAATCATTTTTACATATTTACTTTTCCATATGAACTTTATTTAATTTTTATTATTTTAGATTCAAGGGGTACATGTTTCATATGAATGTTAGAAAGAGTTTGTGAAGTTCCAAAAAAAAATTTTTTTTTTTTTTTTTTCGAGATGGAGGCTCGCTCTGTCGCCTAGGCTGGAGTGCAGTGGTGCTATCTTGGCTCACTGCAATCTCTGCCCTGTGCCCCCACCCCTCTGGGGTTCAAGCAATTCTGGTGTCTCAGCTTCCTGAGTAGCTGGGATTACAGGTGCCTGCCACTACACCCAGCTAATTTTTGTATTTTTAGTAGAGACAGGGTTTCACCATTTTGGCCAGACTGGTTTCGAACTCCTAAGCTTAAGCAATCCTCCCACCTTGGCCTCCCAAAGTGCTGGGATTACAGGCATGAGCCATGGCGCCAAGCCAAGTTCTAAAAATAATTCTATTGATGCTTTTTATCGAGTGTTTTTGCCATGAATAAAATTTATAGCTTTTTATAGTTAAACACTAGCTTTTTAAAAATTTGTGACTCTTGATTTTGTCATATTTAGAAAGGTCATCCTTGCTCTGAAATTATAAAATCATTCTCTCATGCTCCTTTGAACTTTTATTTTTTTTACATTTGAATCTTTGATTCATCTGAAATTTATCCTGAAGTAAGATGTAAGGTTAAATTCAAATTTACTTTGTCCCAGAAGACTACCTAGTTGTTGCCATATCATTTATTAAATAATGCATCTTTCCCCTACTGATATGAAATGCCAGCTTCACAATACACTAAATTCCAGTCTGTATCTTTATCTTTTTCTGGACTTTTCATTCTGTTCTGTTGATCTGTCTTTGTGCCAGTACCACATTGTTTTAATCAGCATGACTTTGTAAATGTTGTTTTAACTATAGGGCTAGCCATCCCTCATTACGCTTCCTTTTTAGACTTTTACAGAATATTATTGCACACATTTTACCATATAAACTTTAGAATTGACTATTCGGTTCAAAAAATATTGTTGATCCTTTCATCAGGATTACGTTAAATTTTATATTAACCTAGGGAGAACTGACATCTTTACGACGTGTCTTCCCATTCAGGAACAGGCTAGCCTTTCCCTTTATTCAAGTATGTTTTCATGTCTCTTGGGAATGTCTTTAGGGCTTCTACACAAAGATCTTGCACATTTCTAGTTGAGTTTATTCCTGTATATTTTATCTTTGTCGTTGCTATTACAAATTTTTCCTCCATTACACTATATCTTCGAATTGAATGTTATTTGTATATGTTAGAGCTATTTATTTTGTATTTAACTGAATTCCTGAGCCCTCTTAATCTTTCTGTAAATACTTTCTCAGGTTTTCCCTTCTTCATTTCATTTTTTTAAACCTCAATTTTGTTTGTCTTGTCTTACTGCATTGATTAGTACTTATGGAGTCTCAGGGAATTCAATCAATACTCTCCTCTTCCCTGCTCAAGACAGGGAAAGTACAAAGCAGACGCTAGCACCAGTTTTATCCACGAGGACTAGTTATTGGAGAATGTGGCTCATATCTGTAAGGTAAGGAGATTTTCTAAAACGGACTTACTTACCATGTCATGGGCACTGTGGGATGAGTATGGACGCTGTCATGTGGTGGAGTGAGTGGCAGCTGCTCCTGTAAGATGAAGGTATGGGGGTAGGTGCAGAGGGGAAGGTGTACGCTCTGTGGGCAGGTCTCTCCCAAAGGAAGTCTCCCAAATATACCAATCTAAGCCACTCCATTTTCCCTGGAGTAGAGTGAATGAGGGATGGAGAAAGGCCAGGTATGTTGTTCTGACTGGGCTCCCTCCAAGATGAAGAAAACATCATAAGTGGAGAAGAAATAGTTCTGCATCCCTGCCTCCTGCAACAAGTATCTTTAGAATAAGGAAAAATAATAGTAGAAGTGGCCATTCTTATCTTTCTCTGGGATTTCAGTGATAGTGCTTTTGTGACATTAAAGATGATACTGCTTTTCCTTATCCCAAGGAAGATACACTTAGGAACATCATCCATTTCCACTCTATTTTGCATTTTGTTTCTTTTTTATCAAGAATTATTGAATTCTATAACATATCTTGTCATTGTCCCTGGGAACCATCATCTGATTTTTCTTCTTTGCTCTTTTAATATGATGAATAATAGTAGATTTCCTAATATTGACCTATCCTTACATTGTGAAATAAATCCCACTTGGAAATAGTAGTAGTATTTTAATGTTCTTCTGTATCCTGATTGTTAATATTTTACTAAAGCTTTTGCATCTAAATCTCTAAGTGAGATTACCCGGCAGTTTTCTTTTTTTTAAGTACAGTATTTATTGAGTTTTTCTAACGTTATGGCCCATTTTTTAAAGATGTTTTGAAGATTTCCTTATTTTTTTGTATACTCTTGAACAATGCAAATAATATCAGAGCCACCCCACAGAGGGACCATGTGTCTCTGTGTGTGTTTAATATTCACAATAACTCTGCAAGGTAAGCATTATTATTGTCTTCATTATGCAGTTGAGGAAACCAAGGCTCAAAGCAGTTTCTTGCCCAAAGTCACATAATGAATTAGTGGGGATGGCACTTGATTCAGGGTCAGGTCAGACTCAAGGTCAGGTCAAACTCAAAGTCAAACTTCTGTCTCCCTTATATGCTCCTTCATGCAGCCACTCTCAAGACAGAGAATGTGGGGCTTGCAACAGACAGATCTTGAGACAGCATCTCAGTTCTGCCAGTTTCCAGAAGTGTGCCCTTGAACAGATCACTTCACCACTTGACATATGTGTTTTGTTCTCTGACAAATAGGTATAATAATGTCCTTTTTCTCATGGGGTTGCTGTGAGGATGCAATGGGGCAGGATATGAGCAAGAACCTAGTGGAGAAGGATTCACATTCAGCAAGTCTTCAATGGTCAACCACCGTATGCCTGGTAATGCTCACAGGGTGTGGAGAGAAGACATGGCCGCAGCCCCTGCTCCTCTGTAATTGGACAGCCACTACACGGGTTGGTCGCTATGACATATCTTAAAGTGGTGGGAGTTGGCGGGGAGCGGTCACACCTGCAGTAACAGCTTTCACACATCAGTCCCCAGTGTTTGATTTGCTCTCTCAGTGGACTGTGATGCTCTGTGGCAGGCCCAGTGGTTGAGACATGTTCCCTAATGCTGGGATCCAATCACATTTCTAAGTACCGAGGAGATGTTGGCTGAGCCCAGGGCTATAGGAAGACATTTGTGCTTCCTTCTTGACCTTGAATCTGGTGGGTCTCAGAAGACCTCGAAACTCTCTATCCCTGGGGTAGGAAAAGTCCAAAGACTTCCCAGTTTGATAATGAGCTTTGTAGACTATTTGGAGAACCATTTCCCCACTAATGCAATACAATTTTATTAACTTTAGTTTCCATGTGGTACCTTAGGCCTCTCTACTTGTTCATCCCACATATGTGCTATTTTATATGCTTTGACCTGCGTCTCCCATTCTCTCTCCCCTTCTCTACCTGTAGTAGCCACTGTTTTATTCTCTGAGAGAACCATCTTAATACATATTTATTTCATATTTTTAAATATGTCTTTTCTTTCAGATTATTCTAGTATTTTTTAGGTTTATTCTGATTTTCCATTGTAAATGAAACACAAGCTCATTGTGAAGATTTTAGGGAATAAAGAAAAAGAAAAAATGAATGCCTCAGAACAACCATTAAGAATATTTAAGAGTATTCTCTCATAATCTTTCCACACATGTATTTTTATTTTACACAATTGAGATAATACTTCCTGCGCAAGTTGTAAACTGTTTTCCTATCCCAAATTAGCTCAAAACTAAGTCTTCACATTATTATAAAACATTTATATCCATTACTTTAGTGGCATAGTATTCAAGCAAGTGGATGTGCTATTTAGTCTTCTATTGTTGGGCAGCTTGGTTGTTTCTACATGTTTGCCGTTACATACAATGATGGATTGCACTTTCTTATTCATGAACCTCTGACCACATGATGAAATTACCAGACCAGTGTTTGAGGCATTCAGTCCAAACTGCCAGAACAATGCCTGTGGGTTTAGAAAAGAAATAGTAGCTGAGAATAAGAGAAATACTTGTTTCCTTTCACATGCCTTCTCCCATAACTGGAACTTCCTCTTGATACCTTGCATGGGGCCTTAAATATTGTTGTTGCTCATGAAATATTTGCTGTATTATAATACCAATTGGAATTACTAGCTAAACCTGAGCAGAGAAAAACAGAACTGGAGAGAAGAAGGGAAAGACAGGTAGATCAAACATTAGAGGGAAATACTTTGAACCACATCTGTACCTCTCTCTGCCCTGCTGCAGTTTTCTGTTTTAAAGTCTCCACTAGGCACTTAGGGGATTGTAGAAATGGTAACACATTGAATCCAGGAAAATGAAGTGTGAAGACCCAGAGATGTGCCCAGAACATAAGGTGGAGGGGCCAAGGCAGAGTTGGGCTGCACTGGGCTGGACAGCGGTCAAGGGCTCTGGGGTTGGCCCATCTTATAGATGAACTCTAGGTGGCGCTGTGGCCGCAAAAGTTTTGGGCTGAGGAATTTTTGGCAAAGCTGTAAGGAATCTCTGGATGGGAGCGAGGAAGGGAGAGAAGTAAAGAAAGAATAGTGGACTGGAGTGAAGGAGACATACACATACACACACACACACACACATAGATGGGTGCGGGGGGGTGGTGGTGGCAGGAATAAGGGAATGGCTCAGACAGTGCTTGGTCCAGAAGAGAGAAAATAAACTGAGGGATCATCAAATTCATTCATTCACTTAATATAAGTATTGATTGAGGCCCATCTTGTGCCTGTCGCTGGGATAGATGGTGAGGATAAAAGGGCGGCTGATCAGCCACCTCCCTGAGGTCCTGTGGCTTATGAGAAGTGAGTGTGATGGCCATCCATTAGCCCCCAGTGAGTCAGTAGTGGCAGACTTGAGATGGACCCTGAAGAAAGAAAAGGGGGCCTATGAAGGGCTATGATGAGGAGGTGACCTGGTTTTGTAGAGAAGGAAGGATTGCAGAGATGGTTGCCCAGTGGAAGGTACTAAAGATGAGATCTGAAGGTAGCCAAGACTGAACCGGGGAGAGAGGATTGCCTGCAGGCTTGGCATGTTCTGCTCTGCTCCTTCTTTCATGTAGGAAGCATGTTGGGGCAGTGTCTGGCCTGCCTTCTAGAGTTTATCCAGAGTTTGTACCCTCTTTGCTCCTATTATTGTTCTTCAGTGGGCATATAGAAGTGATTCTGCAGGAATATGTTTGCTCTGCTGACCCAAATGCTCACCTGGGTGCATCACCCAAAGGACTTGTGTTGGGATAAGTTTTAGGAAGTATGATTGTGGCCACACATCAAAGCAGCCTTTTCAATCTAGATTCACCAGTACTGAGGCTGATATTTTTTTCTCCTCCTATATGATTCCCATATCTCTCTGTTGGTTTCGAATGGAAGAGAGGAGTGTGACTTATTGCCTTAGAGACAGCTAAATGCAGGTGTCAACTAGATCTGAAGCTTGGACAAGAGGTCTCTCTGGGCCAGAGAGATAAATGTGAGTCACCAGTGACAGATGGGAATGGAGGAGAAGAGAAGAGGCCTTAGGCTGAGCCATGGGGAACTCCGACATTGAAAGGCTGGGCACAGGAAGATGATCTTACAAAGCGATAAATGAGGGAAGTTAGAAATAAATTCAGGAGGCGGTGTCACTGAAGCCTGTAGAAGAAGCTGTTTGCACATGATTACCTCACTAGACACAGAAAAGGCTTTCAATAAAATACAACACCCCTTCATGTTTAAAACACTCAATAAACTAGGCATTGAAGGAACATGCCTCAAAATAACAAGAGTCATCTATGACAAACCCACAGCCAACATCATACTGAATGGGCAAAAACTGGAAGCATTCCCCTTGAAAACTAGCACAAGACAAGGATGCCTTCTCTCACCACTTCTATTCAATATAGTATTGGAAGTCTTAAGCAGAACAATCAGGTAAGAGAATGAAATAAAGACATCCAAATAGAAAGAGAAGAAATCAAACTATCTGTTTGCAGACGATGTAATTATATATGTAGAAAACCCCATGGTCTCAGCCCAACAGCTCTTCCAGCTGATAAACAACTTCAGCAAAGTTGTAGGATACAAAATCAATGTACAAAAATCACTAGCATTCCTATATACCAACAATAGCCAAACTGCGAGCCAAATCAGAAAGGCAATCCCATTCACAATTGCCACAAAACGAATGAAATGCTTAGGAATACAGCTAATTAGTGAGGTGAAAGATCTCTACAATGAGAATTACAAAACACTTCTCAAACAAATCAGAGAAGACACAAACAAATGGAAAAACATCCCAGGCTCCTGGATAGGAAAAACCAGTATCATTAAAATGGCTGCTGCCCAAAGCAATTTACAGATTTGATGCTATTCTTATCAAATTACCAATGACATTCTTCACAGAACTAGGAAAAACTATTTTAAAAGTCATATAGAACCAAAAAAGTGCCTGAGTAGCCAAGGCAATCCTAAGCAAAAAGAACAAAGCTGGAGGCATCATGTTACCCAACTGCAAACTATACTATAAGGCTACAGTAACCCAAACAGCATGATGGGGATACAAAAACAGACAGATAGACCAATGGGACAGAATGGAGAGCCCAGAAATAAGGCCACACATCTACAACCATCTGATCTTCTACAAAGCGGAAAATAACAAGCAATGGGGAAAAGATTCCCTATTCAATAAATGGTACTGAGATAACTGGCTAACCATATGCAGAAGATTGAAACTGGACTCCTTCCTTATACCTTATACAAAAATCAACTCAAGATGGATTAAAGACTTACATGTAAAACCCCAAACTATAAAAACCCTGTAAGACAACTTAGGCAATATCATCCTGGACAGAGGAGCAGGCACGGATTTTATGACAAAGACACCAAAAGAAATCACTACTAAAGCAAAAATTGACAAGTGGGATCTAATTAAACTTAAAACTTTCTGCACAACAGAAGGAAACTATCAACAGAGTAAACAGACCACTTACAGAATGGGAGAAAATATTTGCAAACTATGCATCTGACCAAGGTCTAATATCCAGCATGTATAAGAAACTCAAACAAATTTTCAAGAGGAAAAAAAACCGTTAAAAAGTGGGCAAGAGACATGAACAGACATTTTTCAAAAGAAGACATACATGTGACCAACAAGTATATGAAAAAAAGCACAATCTCACTGATCATTAGAGAAAGGCAAATCAAAACTACAATGCGATACCATCTCACACCAGTCAGAATGGCTATTACTATTTAAAGTAAAAAAATAACAGATACTGGGGAGGTTGTGGAGAAAAGGGAACACTTATACACTGTTGGTGGGAGTACAAATTAGTTCAATCATTGTGGAAAGCAGTATGACGATTCCTTAAAGAGCTAAAAGCAGAACTACCATTTGACCTAGCAATCCCATTACTGGGTATATACCCAGAGGAATATAAATCATTCTACCATAAAGGCACATGCACACAAATGTTCATTGCAGCAGTATTCACAATATCAAAGATATGGAATCAACATAAATGCCCATCAATGGCACAAGATAAAGAAAACATGATACATATACACCATGGAATACTATGCAGCCATAAAAAAGAATGAGATTATATCTTTTGCATGAACATGGATGGAGCTGGAGGCTATTATCCTTAGCAAACTAACTCAGGAACAGAAAATCAAATACCACATGCTGTCACTTATAAGTGGGAGCCAAGTTATAAGAACCCATGGACACAAAGGAGGAAACAATAGACACTGGGGTCTACTTGATGGTGGAGGCTGGAAGGAGGGAGAGGGGCAGGAAAGATAACTGTTGGGTACTGGTCTTAATACCTGGGTAATGAAATAATATGTACAAACAGACCCCTGTGGCGTGTGTTTACCTGTGTAACAAACCTTCACATGTACCCCCAAACCTAAAATAAAAGTTTAAAAAATTCCCATTAATTGATGGGAGTACTTTGGTTTGTAAGAAAAGGCACATGGGGGGCGGAAAAAAAAAGAAAAAAAAAAGAAAAGGCACATGGAGCTTATGAGACAAACTAGTGTGGTATATGAGCTTTCCCTTATTGCCTCCCTCATACCTTGTAATTTGTAACAGAAGTCTCCCTCACTAGATTCAGTTTTAGAACAGGAACATAGTTTATTTTTGTTAAATCAATCAAATAAATTCACCAAATACTGCTAAAAAAAAAAAAAAAGATGTCTGTTAGGTTAAGAGAAAGGGAGGCCGTTGGTGACCTTAGCAAGCCATATTTGGGAGAGTGATGGTCATACAAGCTGGACTGCAGTGGGGAAGAGAATGGGGGATGGAACAGAGGTAGCTAGTGTATACAACTGTTTTGAGGAGTTTGTATAAGGTGTAGGAGTAGGCACCTGTCACTCTTTTCAGTTGTCCAGTAACTGCATCATCTCCCTATTTTTGGAGAACTCTCTACCTATGAATCTTGCTGAGAAACAGAGCCTGTCTCACATTACACATGAGGAAGTTACCAGATAGATACAGTACCTGCCTTCCCAGCTGGCCTTGAGAGGTGATGAGCATAGGACAAGGCTTATGTATCAGAAGTGTTGTCCCAGACTCAAAATCAGGAACAAGTGAAGCACAAGAGGAATGTTTTCTGAGAGCACTGGTGGCTGTAAAATGATGAGTTCCTGGGATAGCAGAGCTGGCTACAGTGGTGTGAGCAGGGCTCACCGTGGCACCAACAGAAAGGGAAGTGGTGGTAGTGGTATTGGTGATGGTGTTAGTGGTGGTGATGGTGGTGGTGGTGGTTGTAATAGTGGTGGCGATGGTGATGGTGATGGTGGTGGCAGTGGCGATGGTAGGGGTGGTGGCAATGGCCGGGGGGGTGGTGGTGATGGTGGTGGTGATGGAAGTGATGGTGGTGGTCATGTCGGTGGAAGTGGTGGAAGTGGTGGTGGTAGTGATGGTGGTGGTGGTTGTCGTGTTGGTGGAAGTGGTGATGGTGGTGGTAGTGATG